GGGGGGGTGAGCAGGTTGGGGTGCAGAACTGAGCACTTTGGGGTGCGGGACTGAGCCCATCAGGGTTCTGGGGTGCAGGGATGGGCCAAACATTGAGGGTAGGATTTCAGTTACTAAGGTGTAAATGCAGAGTTATTCTAGATTTAGATACGTAATGATCAGATTTTGGCCAGTTGTTCTAGTCCGCTAGTTACTGTGGCTGAGTCATGAGGCTGAAGCACAAGCTTGGTGTAAGGAGGTATTTATATTGATTTATTAATGGCTTTTGTGTCTTGTGATTTCTGCAGAATGAGTGAGGGGGAGCGAAGAGCGAAATGGGGAGGGAGAGTCTGCAAAATACTTCGCAGTAGTGCTGGGGTGCAGGGCTGAGCTCTTGGGGGGGATGAACAGGTTGGGGTGCTGGGGTGAACTGAGCACTTTGGGGGCGATCAGCAGATTGGGGTGTGGGGCTGAGCGCTTTGGGGGGGATGAGCCCTCGGGGGAGGGATGAACAGGTTGGGGTGCTGGGCTGAGCACTTTGGGGTGTGGGGCTGAATGCTTTGGGGGGGGTGAGCCCTTGGGGGGCGATGAGCAGGTTGGGGTGCAGGGCTGAGCACTTTGGGGTGCGGGGTTGAGCTCTTGAGGGGGATGAGCAGGTTGGGGTGCTGGGGTGCAGGGCAGAGCCTCTGGGGAAGGGACTGATCCAGCCGGGGTGTGGGGCTGAGGGGAGCAGACCCCGCCGGAGGGGCCGTGCCCCCCAGCCCCGGGCTCAGGGCAGCCCCGCTCCCCTCCTGCCCCCCAGCAGTCAGAGTTCGTGCGTTTCGCCGAGGTCTTTCCCCTGAAGGATTTCGGGTTCGCGCCGGAGCCGGGGCGGTACCTGGAGGCGGTGGGCTGGGTGGAGGTGGTGGCTGGGCTGCTGCTGGCCCTGGGACCCCAGCTCCTGCAGGAGATCAGCAACTTCATCCTCAGCATCATCATGATCGGTGAGAGCGAGCGGGTGCCCCTCACCCCGCGCGGGGTCTCGGGCAGGGACCCTCGGGCGGGGACCCCCCATCCCCACGCTCTGCCCCTCGCCCAGGTGCCATCTACACGCTGCTGGCGCTGCGGGAGCCCCTGGCCATGTGCGCCCCCGCCACCCTCTGCCTCGGCCTCCTCCTGCTGCTCAACATCCGTGGGCACGCCGACCCCCCCAGGCCCAAGTTGGAGTGAGCGGAGGCGGCGGGACGGGGGGCTGGGCCAGGGGGAAGCGATGCCCTGTGATATTTTGGTGGATGGCATGGCGTCCTGCCCGGTGACGTGCCACCGCTGCACGGGGTGTCCTCTCCCGCCTCTCTGGGGACCCTGGTGCCGGTTGTCCCCACACTGTGGGACCCTGGTGCCGGTTGTCCCCACACTATGGGACCCTGGTGCCAGTTCCCCCCGTGCTGGAGCTGTGGGGAGGGGTGGCCGTGGCACCACCGTGGCTCTGCCACCACCGTTGCTCAACTCACACGAGGTTTCCGGCTCTTCCCGGCGTTCGGCCGCGCCAGGCTGGGGTTGGCTCTGCTTTTCTGGGGGCTTTCGTATTTTGGAATAAAGCCTCTTGTTTTTCACATTTTGCCTCCCCTCTTTATTTCTGCCTCCCCCCGCGCTGAGCTGTGGGGGCTGAGGGGGGGTCCTGGGGCTGGTGGCCCTGATCCCCTGGAGCAGCATCTGGGGACAAGGGCTGGGGACAGGCGGGTGGCAGCTGGCACGGAGGCAGACAGATGGCAGAGAGAGCCCCCCGACCACCCAGAGCCACCCCGCAACGTGCCAGGCCACCCCCATCCAAGGGGGAGACAGTATTGTGACCCCCCCAAACCCTGTGCATGGGCAGGGTCGTGCTTTTGGGGGATCTTGCTCCAGCAGTCCCTCCACAGGGACCCCTCCATCACCCCAGATGGGCACGGCCAACCCCATGGATGGACCCCAAGATCATGTTTGATCCCAGTGCGTGGCCAGCAAGACGTGTGGGGTGGCTGTTGGGGGGAAACTGGCCACCTTGGGATGAGAGGGGGGGTACAACACCCCCGTACCCCCCCAGCAGGACCTGATACCACCTTGGGGTGGCAGCTTGGGATGTCCCAAAGGAGCATCCACACGTTGCAGGATCACCCAAGCAGCCAGTTGAATACTCACAGAGCCTGGGGGGACAGGGGGGTGCCCAGGGTCCAGCTTTGAAGCCAACAAAAGCACCAAGGGCCGGGGGGGGAGGGGGGGGCAGATTCCAGCTTTGATCCCTGTCGGGGCATCCCCCTTTTCCCCCCCCCACCAGCAGCTGGGTGCAGAAACTTGACCCACCAGTGCTTTCATCCCCAGCGTGGGTGGGAAAAAGGCCCTGGGAAATGGTCCTAGATGGGGCTGGGGGCACATAGGGGGGGGGGGCAGCCATGCCGGGACCGGACCGGCTGGCCCCCCCCCCCCTGTGCCCCCCCCGCGAAGGAGAAGGAGAAGGAGAAGGAGAAGGAGAAGGAGAAGGAGAAGGAGAAGGAGAAGGAGAAGGAGAAGGAGAAGGAGAAGGCGAAGGAGAAGGAGAAGGAGAAGGAGAAGGCGAAGGAGAAGGAGAAGGAGAAGGAGAAGGCGAAGGAGAAGGAGAAGGAGAAGGAGAAGGAGAAGGAGAAGGAGAAGGAGAAGGAGAAGGAGAAGGAGAAGGAGAAGGAGAAGGAGGAGAAGGAGAAGGAGGAGAAGGAGAAGGAGGAGAAGGAGAAGGAGAAGGAGGAGAAGGAGAAGGAGAAGAAAGGAAAAAATAAAGGAAAGGGGGACCCACTGAGGGGCCCGGGGGCTCCCTGAGGGTCCACACTCTCTGTGCAGAACAACCTGAAGCAGCTCATCCTGGTGCTTGGTGCTGTGTGTTCCGAATCTGGCCCTGCCCTGCTGGAAAACCCCCATGGGGTGACTCAGTGCCCTCAAGTGAGGTGTGGGCAGGTGGTGATGGGGGGGTGAAATAGCTACAGACCTGGGAGACAGCTGTTCGGGGTGGCAAACCCATCCTCACTCAGGGCTGCGGGTCACGGGGGGCTTCTGGCCCCATGCTCGTACCCCCACCCCACGCCGGGGTCCCTCCACTCTGGGGCACACTGAGCCGGTGGGTGACTTCCCCATGGGTGCACTGTGGGGGGTATTTGGGGTGCTGGGAGCGGGACGGGGTGGCCCCCCCGGGCAGGCGGTTGCGTGGGAGATGTTAAGCCCCTCAGCTGCTGGTCGGAGCCATCACGGCACCTCCGGGTGCCACTGGCCACGGGGTCTGCCCCACGGCCACCGTGCAGCTGCGCCTGCCGCTCCCTGGGGAGCACTGGCCGGGCGGCTGCGGTGGCCACTGGGCTCCCACATGGCGTGGGGGGATGTGGGAGGGGGTCCCACAGCCCCTTGTCGGAGCCGTTGGAGGTTGATCCCCTCCAGCAGATGGTGGCATCCCCACGGGGGGCTCTGCCTCCGGTGCCCGGTCTCCTACCACCCACAGAGAAGTCCTGCCAAGGTGGATGTCCCTTCCCTGTCCCCTGAGGGCTGTGTTTGGGCCGTGCCACTGACCACCCACCCATCTTTGCAGGAGCCCGGGATGAACGGCTCGGTGGCAGGGCCCCCCGGCGAGTGCGTGCCCAGCGACCCGGTGCAATTCCTGCTGGTGCCCGCCGTCTACTGCCTGGTGCTGTGCGTGGGGCTACCGGGCAACCTGGTGGCCTTGCTGGTCTTCCTGCAGAGCGGCAAGGTGAGGAAGGCCATCCGCATCTACCTCATCAACCTCACGCTGGCCGACATCCTCTTCAACCTCACCCTGCCCCTCTGGATCCCCTACTACCTGGCGGGGGGGGACTGGCTGCTCTCGGAGGCCGCTTGCCGCCTGGCCGGGGCCGCCTACTACCTGGCCACCTACAGCGCCGTCACCTTCATGGCGCTCATCAGCTTCAACCGCTACTGCGCCGTGCGGGCGGCGCGGCGGGCGCTGCCGCTGACGGGGCGACGGGGGGCCTCCTTGGCTTGTGCCCTGGCCTGGCTACTGGGGCTGGGCTGCTCCGTGCCCACCCTGGTCGCCCAGCAGACTTTCCCCACTCGCTCCGGGGCCACGGCCTGCTTCGAGCAGCACGGCCGGCAGCGGGCCTACGCCTACGCCATGGTGGCCTTCTTCGCCGCTGCCTTCCTGGTGGTGCTGGGCACCTACGCCTCCATCGCCCGGGCGCTCTCCGTGCCCCCCGGCACCGCCACTGCCACACCGGGCTCCCACCGGCAGCAGGCACGCGCCATGGTGCTGGGGATGCTGCTGGTCTTCGTGGTCTGCGTGGCCCCCTACCACCTCACGCTGGCCCCCTGGGTGGGCAGCCGCCCCCCTGTGCCCCCCTGCCAGCCCCCTGCCGCCCTGGACGTGCTGCACACGCTGAGCGTGGCCCTGCTGAGCCTCAACAGCTGCCTCGACCCCCTCGTCTACTGCTTCTCCATCCGGCGCTTCCGCGCAGACCTGGCACGCACCCTGCGCAAGG